CAAGAAACTGCTGTGCAATCCTTAAGGGGAGCCGTTTGAATCCAACACATCCTCTGCTGGAGAAGGAGCAGCAGTCTCCTACTGTGCCAGACAGATCTTATTTGATGGCTCGTGGGAGGAAAAAAACCCAAGAACATACAGTTCACGTCATAACATGCTTAATTAGTTTAGCTGAAGAGTTGTTCAATTTAAAGTTGCCTTCAGAGGATAATTTTAGCTTATGGTTTGAAGATTTTGACTTGAGTCAGGCTCACCTTAGTCCTACCCAAAGTGACTTGGTCGCTTTTTAACACTTTGAAGAGGCCTTTTGCATGAGAATATAGAATGAACCACCCAGTATTAAAAGCAGTTTGGCACTTCCTCAGAAAGTTGGGAGTAGAAATACCATTTGGTCCAGCAGTCCTGCAACTAGGAGTATTTTCCCCAAATACAAGAACTGTGACACAAACTATACATACTCATGCTTATTGCAGCATTATTTAAAGTAGCAGAGAGCTGGAAATTAAGTGCCATCCATGGACAAATTGATAAACTATGGTACGTTTACACAATAAATCACTAAAAAACAGTCAAGAATTTGTGAAATACTGCACGGTATGGATGATTGTTGAACAAATTATGAAGAGTGACTTACGTCACAGTTCTGGTTTGCTTGGATCTACAGTCAACATTCTTGGCACCAGCAGCCAGGAAATTAAAAGACATATTGTGATGGGAAAGTCTGTGGTTAGAGACCTCTCTAAAGTGCTGAAGTGCAAAGATGTCAATCTGGAGACTAAGGTGCACCTGATACATGCCATAGTCTTTGCAGTCACTTGCTGTGCATCACAAAGCTGGACAATGACTAGGGAGGATAGAAGGAGAATTGATGCCTTTGAGCTGTGGTGTCAGAGAAGAGTATTGACTATACCATGGACTGCTAGGAAAACAAATAGGTTTGTCCTGGAGAGGGTGAAGCCAGGCTGCTCCTTGGAGGCAAGGATTCTGAAGCTTTGTCTGACATACTTTGGACATGTTAGAAGGAGGGACCAGTCCTTAGAGAGCGACGTCATGCTTGGGAGGGTGGAAGGACAGTGCAGGAGAGGAAGACCCTTGAAGAGATGGATTGATTCAGTGACTGGGGTAATGGGGGTGGGTGTGTCGGAGATGGTGAGATTGGCACAGGATAGGGCAGAGTTTAGGGTTGTTGTACATAGGGTCACTATGAGTCGCAACAGTACGTAACAACAACAACAGTTATGGTATAAGACTTTAGAAAAAAGCTAAGGAAGGGTTTACACATAGAATCAGCCATGGAGGACTAACAGGGATGGGAAGGGGGGCGTAAATTAAGTAAGTTAGGTGAAGGGATACAAATAGGGAATAGTTACTATATATAATACATATAGAAAATATAATATATAATATTTACAGTATATGAATAAGGGAATATTTAGACATTACAGTTAATTGCCATAATCAATGATAAAACAGAATGATTGAATAAAAATCCAATATGGTTTCCAGATTTTCACAGAAAAAGAAAAAAAAGAGATCTTTTGCGGCACATCTACCCAGAGCAACCACTCAGCTTAGAATTGTTTATCTGGCAGAGACATCTGAGGCATTTCACTAGAGCCCCCGGGTTTCCTGGTTTGCACCAACTTTGGTTAAGAGTAATCACTGAAATCCCTCTATTCATAGTCTTCAGTTTTTCTCTCTTCTCCTCTTTTCCCTCTCTCTCTCTCTCTCTCTCTCTCTCACACACACACACACACACACACAAACAGGTTTTTAGTTCAATAAACTTGATGACAGTGAGTTTGGTTTCTGTTTTAACCTGATGGTTCTTGTCAAGAGAGGAAAATCTGTGTTTTGAAAAAGCACACTAGGCATCTCAAGTTTCTGAGACCAAGAGCTCTAAACATACCTGCTAACTTTTAACTGTTAATGGCAAGGCTTGGAGATGGCAGGGAAATTGTGAGTTTGTGAGTTCTGCTTTGCACTGAAACATTGACTACTTATAGTCGTGAATCCCTTTTAGACTTGATTTAATGAAAACCAGATAAATGAAGGCAGCGTGTGTTATAGAAAACATATATAAAGCCACAGTGCTGATACCTTAAATTACAGTGACACAGCTTCTTGTTGTGAGGTCCACCCTGTTTACATATTTATAGCAGACAGAATGAGACACGGCTGGGTCCTGTGCCATCCTCACAGTTGCCACAGCCTCTGTCAGTCCATCTTGTTGAGGGTCTTCCTCTCTTTTGTTGATCTTCTGCTTTACCAAGTTTGATGTCCTTCTCCAGGGATTGGCCCCTCCTGCAGCAGGCCCACAGTTTATGAGACACAGTCTCACCATCCTCTCCTCCAAGGAGCAGTCCAGCTGCACTTCCTCCAAGGCCAGTTCGTTTCTCCTCGTGTCAGCCCCTGACATGTTCAATATTCTTCACAAACACCATAATCCAAAGGTATCAGATCTTTTATCTTCCTTATTTCCTGTTCAGCTAGATGAGTCCATCACTCTGTCCTGTGTTAACGAGCTTGACCAGGATGTGGATGGGAAGAGAGAAACCCTTACTGCAGTAACAAAGCTATTTAAAAATCATAAGGCCACTCATACTGACAACACTTGGAACCATGGAGTCACACCAGTGTTCCTGCGTATGTCCAGTGCTGGTCTGGTTGGGGTGTAAGTGGCCTTCAAAACTGAGTCAGTGCCTGGTTCTGTACCAGAGGTCTCCTTCCTGATGGTCTGGGCTCTACATTCCTGTAGATCTGCTCTCCTCTCAGGCAGCAGCTTTTCCCATGATTGTGCTGTAAGCTTTTGCGTGCCATCAGATGTCTTGGTAAGTTGGTAACAGTAAATGACATTGAACCTTAGCATACATCTGAGGATTTTATATACTAGGCCATTGTAAAAATGGTGTGACCAGTGTGGGGGTGGCAGTGCACAACTTCATTAACTCCATCAGGAGCAGCCCCCCCCCCCAACAACATAGACAGTGCAGAACTGATTGTTGTGAGGTCAGACGTGGTCCCATGCACCCACACCTTCTGCCAGATCCAACACCATCTCTTTCTTCCAGGGCTCTTCACTGCTCTGTTACTGGACCTGTTAATCTGTTAAGTGGCCACATAGAACTCACAGAATATACTCACAATTATGGGGTTTATTAGAAATATAACAGGTGACAGGATACAGGTTGCCATTTTCAGTCAGGACAGCTTCTCAGGCATGCTCACTGACTCTCCCAGTTTCACTCCTGGGCTTCGGTTCTGTGTTACAAAGCTCTCTTGGTCCTGCCAATCACAGAATCTCCCTTAGCCTTCCCATAAGCCTGGGTGAAAGGTGAAGACCCTCAGCTGTGGCTCTGTGGGGTGACAGTTCCCGTTCAGCTATGTCTCGTGTTGCTCTCTGATTCACCTCTGCTCCTGCTCAGATGCCTGGATCTCACTCTGTCTCAGTTTTGTGCAGGCATCTCTGGCCCTGAGGAATGGCATGTTCCACTCTCCATTTCCTTCCTGGTAGTAGCAGAGTTCCCAAGTCCCCCTCTAAACCTGCTCAGTTTAAGCCTGGTGGCTTAGCAAGACAGCCCGTTCCCCCACTAGTAGTCTACATGCCTTGTTTGCATGTTGCCACCCAAAAGGTGCTACTCACCTCATTAGCATAGCCCCTCCCTGCCAGGTGGTGAAAGTCAAAGCTATTTTGAATAATAAATCTACAGCACTACAGCCATCACAAACTCATTGGATAATACTTGCTTTTGACACTGACTCAAGATCCGTGGAAAATATGTACAATAGGAAACGTGTGGGTAGTATGGTGGGAAGGTTGTGTGATTTGAGGGGGGGACAAAAAGTATGACGTATATAAGACTATAATAAAATCAGTTCCCAGGATCCAAACATCTGCAACTTGAACTTGGCCTTTAGACTCACTGCCATCAAGTTTATTCCATCTCAAAACACTGTTGGGCAGAGTAGAACTTCCCTATAGGCTTCCCAGAACTGTCAGTCTTTATCTGATAGTCTTAGTAACAGACTGTAGCATCTTCCTCCTAATGGTATGGCTGCAGTGTTGAACCACCAGCCTTTTGGTCAGCATCTGAATTTTCTAACCTTTGTACCACCAGGCTCATTGCTTGAGCTTCAGTGTCACATATATTTGCCCCCATTTTGAAATAACAGAACCAAACCGCTACACACGACAAATCCTTCTTCACTGTCACCTTCACTTGCTGCAGGTGCAGCTATTAAATCACCAAAAGGCTTTGAACCTTTCCTTGCACTAAGCTTACCCACAGCCACCAAGCCGATTCCAGCTCCTAGCGTCAAGGGTTATGTGTCTGTAAATCTTAAGGGAAAGGGACTGCTCATCTTTCTCCTGTAGACAGCTGGTGGATCCGAACCTCTGACCTTTTGGTTCATAGACCAACACATAACCGACAACACCACCAGGACTCTCATCTATAGCTTGTGGTGGCTCAAATCCATCAACTGCTCAGCAGAAGATGGGTGGTCGCCTCTTGTTGAGATTTACAGCCTTAGGAACCCCATGGAGGGTCGTGTGAGTCGGAACGGACTTAAGGGAAGCAAGTTTAAGGAAAAGTGAGGCTAAATAAGAAATCTTGCGGGGAGGGGGAGAGTGGAAATTGTATGCAACTGCCTCAGCTCACCTACAGGTTTGACTTAAAGACCAGTTCGGAATGGGTCTTGTTTTTGAGTCAGGTACTGCCTGTAGTCATGTGAGATAGTACTTGAGGGAGGAAAATTGGCAGGCCAAAACACCATGCAGGTGTCACCAATTTGCCCAAATAGTCCCTTGAAATGGGGACAGTCCCACCATGGCTTCAGCTGGCTTGGAGTAAGTGTCCATTTTCTACTCAGGATCACGGAGTATCAGGACCACAGCCCTTCCCCTTTACTGGTTACATTACCTGCGGCCACCTACACACAGGGGGAGGCAGTGGGAGTAAACAATCGCATTGCAATGGGCTTCCCTCTCTGCTTCTAGCATGGCTGCTGGATTTCTGAAGACGCTAACACTCCAAGCCTTAAAGCCCAACAGCATCTGCCTTGCAAGATGTTTGGGAAGATGCCTCCTGCAGCAGACGGTAGCAGCACAGCCGGCTGCCCAGAGACTGCCCAGCCTAATTTGTGCAGAAGCCTTCTGTACCGCTGACAGAGCCCAGGATGCGCCAAAGAAGAAAACGAAGACCGACACAGCTTTCACCAATGTCGGGAGGAAAATCAGCCACCGGATCATTCATGTTATTGATGAGAAGGGCAATGACTTGGGGAACATGCACCGAGCCAATGTGATTAAGCTCATGGACCAGCGGGACCTGAGGCTGGTTCAGAGGGATGCGAGTGCGGAGCCTCCCAAGTACCAGCTCATGACTGGGCTGCAGATCCACGAGGAGCGGATGCAGCTCCGAGAGAGGGACAAGGCCAGCCCCAAGACAGGTGGGCATCTGCTGGTCATCCCTGGAGGTCTTTTTAAAATAGGAGTTTGGGGGAACTTTTACAGAGCAAATTGATCCATTCAAACATGTTTTGTTTCCTATTAGTTGCAATTTCCTCAGCGTAATGACATTTCCTGCTACTCCCCAAATTCCTAAGGTCTGGGAACCAGCAGTCTAAATTCTGGCTTTGACAAGGGTTCCCTGGACTAGGAGGAGTGAGAAACTGGGGAATTGGCATAATCTGTGCTTTCACCCCACTCCCAGTCTTCCTCCCACTCTATCTCACTTCGTTCTGTTCCTCCTTTTTTCTGTCATTGCCTGATACCGTGTCCACCATTCTTTCCCTTGAATTTATGTACAATGAGGGATAAACAAGCTGTGAACGCAGCTACAGTCAAAATGATTGGCACCTTCTCCTTTGTTTCCCCACTCCTGGAGGACAGAGGGGCCGACCATCCACTGCGGCCAGTGATTCTTACTCGTAATGACCCTGCAGAGCAGAGCACAAGGGCCCATGCAGACTGCCACATCGTTCTCTGGTGGGATGGCTGGTGGGTTTGAACTGGTGGTCTTGTGCTTAGCAGCCCCAGGTCCTTAACCACCACACCACCAAAACCACTGCCATAGAGCCAGTTCTAACTTACAGCAACCCCTGTGCAGAGCAGAACTGCCCCGTAGGGCTGCCTAAGTGTCATCTCTCTGGGAGCAGATTGCCAGGTCTCCCTCCCATGGAGTCACTGGATGGGTTCACGCTGTCAACCTTCAGTCAGCAGCCTAATGCTTAACCACAGAGCCATGAGGACTCCTTGGCGTAGCTGAAAAAAAAATCGCCTCAAACTCAGAGCCATTATGTTGGTTTTGACTCCTCGTGGGCCTCCCTCCAGCAGGTTTACTGGAGGCTATAAATGCTAACAGGAGGAGCCTGTCCATCTCTTTCCTGAGCAGCTGCTGGTGGATTTGAACTGCTGGAGACTTGAAGACTTCTGGGTCTGCAATGTAGCTTGCAACTGAACTATGCCAGCAGAGCTCCGGAATGCCAAAGACTTAGAGACTTATCCTACTGTGGATCAGTCATTTAATCACCCTCCTTCTCCACTCCTCTAAAGTGAGGAAGTTTGGTTCACTTTATATATGTATATATAAACCAACCCACCACCATTGATTTGAGTGACTCACAGACCCAAGACCTCTTTATGGGAGGAAACTGCTTATGTTTGTCCTGCAGAGCAGCTAATAAATTCAAAGATGGTTGGTGTTTACAGCTACTAGTAAATACAGAGAGCTCTGGTGAGGCAGCATTTGCCAAGGGATAAAGCTCAAAAGGCAGGAGGGGTAGATAAAAGGATGAATGGAAATGAGTATCATACGGATGAGAGAGTGGCTATGAGACTCACAAGGGAGTTCTGGTGGCCCAGCAGGTAAGTTGTGCCGCCAGCATGAAGGCAAGCAGTTCGAATTCACTACCTGCTCCAAGGAAGGACAATGGGTAATCCCCTATCTACTTAATAGTTTCCAAAAACCCACTGCTGGGTCAACTCTTAAGTGGGTTCCAACTCAAGAGCACCTAAAGTCAATGACCACACAATGTTGAGGGGCCCTGGTGGTGCAGTGGTTAAGCCATGGGCTGCGAACTGAAGGGTTGATGATCACATAGTGTCATGTTTGTTTTAAATTACATCCTTTTTTCCACATTTAGTCCATCTGAGATTTTTGTAAGGGTTGAGATTCCCCATATGAGAACTCTTCATTTGTCCCAACCTCAGTGTGTAATTTGTTTCCTGTGGGATCATTTCCTAATGAGATTTCTGCAGGCCGTGCAGATAGTCACGGGATTCAGGTGCTCATGTGGGTGACATGACCAGGTGACCTTATAGTAGCTAGAACAAAAAGGGCTGGGCTAGAATGGTGATCCCAAGATGCTGACCCATGTTGGAAAGTTCACTTTATCACAAAGGTAAAGGAGTTCCTTCTAAAGCATCGTTGTTTTTACGTCAAACAGCAGTAAATGAAATGATTTCCAATTTTGACATTTTGGCAGGTAAGAAAAGTACCCTTTTTTATTGGCTTTATTTTAAAGAGAGTTTGCTGGTTTGTGATACTGAAAGTCAGATGTGAGGTCAGGCAGGCCACTGTCACCAACTCAGAGTTCATGGTCAAGTCATGAGCCTAGTGGCGCAGTACTTAAGTGCTCAGCTGCAAATGGCAAGGTCAGTGCTTTGAACCCACCAGCCACTCCTCTGGCAGTCTGCTCCTGCATGGGACCGTTCTGCTCTGCCCCATTGTCACTGTGTTGAAATCAACAGCAGTGGGTTTATGTGAAGGAGCCCTGGTGGCATAATGGTTAAGCACTTGGTTGCTAACTAGAAAGTTGGTAGTTCAAACACACCAGCTGCTTCTTGGGAGAAAGTTTTAGAAGTCTGCTTCTATAGAGACATGTCCTTGGAAACCCCCCGGGGCAGTTCTCTGCCTTGTAGAATCCAGAATCCACGAGAGTCAGCATCGACTTGACATTAAGCTTGATTTTTTTAGTAAGGTTTAGGCTTCAGACATAGGTTGGCAGAGTCCCAGCACCAAGTCTCACTGTTTTAAACTAGGACCGACTCTGATAAAGGAACTAACTTTTTCTTCAAATATTGGACAACATGATTTGGCCACGAAGAGTAAACAGATTCAGCAGTGGGTTGAGAAGAAATACCATGTCCAGATCACTGTAAAGAAAGGGAAGAATGTAGAAGAGTCGGAGAACAGTATGGTAAGTGAAAGCAGACGTAAGTAACTGCTCACTCGAAGGGTCTCCTGATTGGCAAATAGAATTAGACATTCTGTGAGAAGTTGAAAGGCAAAGAACAGTGACTGGTAATTCTGCTACCCAAGGATATTAGCTTTCCAAATAATTTTTAAGAATGCAGGTACAGTCGACATACGACTTTGTTCCATTGTTAACAGATACACTTCAGTGACAATCTTCCACTTTCTGAATTAAAGACTTTATACTGTTGGTTTACAGATTATAGCATGTTTACAAAGTAGGAAAACTAGAAACTATCAATTTCTATTTTGCTTCCTTTTCCTAGAAGTCTGTGGCAGTCCTCTAGAAATGTCTATCAGTTTACAATCCAGGATAAGTTTGCTTTTCATCAGTCATTGTGGTGGAGTCACAGCTGACCTTCTAGCAGGTTTTCGGAGGCTGTTAATCTCATGGGAGGAGATTTAATCACATCTTCCTCCCTTGAAGCAAATGGTGAATTTAAACACCTCTGGATTGTCAGTGCTAGGCCACCAGAGCTTCCTACTCTTTGCTTTTAAAGTTGAAAAAAACCCCATGTATTTAATGATAGAACATGGGAACTGTAATGATTCCCAAGGAGCTGATAAACTAGTTATAAAAGGATTAAGGATGGAATACAAAACCCCTTTATCTATTAAAAAACCCATTGATCCTATCATAGACTGATTTAAGGGGTCAATGTCCCTAGAGTGTGGCCTATAGTACCTTTTATCTCCTGAGAGATAAAGAGGAAAGCAAGCAGAGAGGGGACCTCAGCACACTAAGTAATTGGGAATAGAGTGTGTCCTTTTAGACCTGAGCCCCTGTGCTGGGAAGCTCAACACCAGGAAAGGCCAGGGCATGTGGAGAGCCCCAAAGACACAAGGCCTATAGATGACTAAGGAAAACAAGGACCTTCCTTGAGACCTAACCCAGAGAGGGTTGTACCCTAAACTTACTCTTCTAGCTGCCTAAAGTGTGAGAACAAATTTGTTTGTAAAAACCATGTTTGTGTTGCCTGTTAGTAAGCACCAGAAAAATTAAGAAACCACTTGGTATTAGTCCAAAAGTTGGCTTTTTAAAGTTTTTTTTTTATAGTTAGCCCCCTCTGGTTTCCAGCTACCTTAACTGCAGGCACCTGGTCTTGCAAATCATCAGCAGCTGCGGGACTAAGACAAGACAATGCTTTTCCACACTGAGTGGCAAGACCTTGGTGATGGTGGTGGAGAGACTAGCATTGCTGAGAAACTGGTAATGTGTGACTTGAGGCTTCTTGCATTTATGCTTTCCATAGTTAAAGGTTTTGTTGTTCTTGCTGGATGCTTGAAGAAGTTAACTTGTTTCTGCTCTGAGGCAAATATTACTGGGTGATTTGATTGCTGAACTGAAACCAAAGCCTGGACTAATTGAGGAATTGTGCCTTGGAACTGCTGGCTAAACCCAGGACTTGTATTAGTCTTTGCCCTCCCCCACTCTTCAACTTAGTTCCCTAATAAACCTCATGCTTAGAACCAGAACTGTGAGGCAACGATGAATAAATGAACCTCTTGCTGTTGATGTGGCTCTAGAGGCAACACGGGCTGAACTATAGGCTCTTACCTGCTTTTTGCTCTGGGGCAGTGAGAAGTTGTGCTCATTTTAACTCCCTCTGGCCCTTTAAGAGAGAGACTCATAGCTTTGTGACCCCATGTGCCATTTCCTCTTCTTTAGACACCAACTAAAAAGTCAACATTAGGCCAAACAAAAGAAAAACCCAAAAACTCAAGAGACCTGAGTTACAAAGATGAAAAGAATGTCCCATTGTTCCTCTGCAGAGGGTCTGGAGGAGTCAAACTGCCAGCCTTTGGGTTAGCAGCCCAACATGTAACCCGTCACAATCATACATCAGAATGCTTTAGCATGAGGGCCGATGGTTTTCAAACCTGGTGCCAGGTTGGTGTTACCCAGGCCCAGTGCAGGTATCTGTTATTTTTTTAAAAGTGTAAGCCAGACTACCTTATAGGGCTGGGGACCATTGTCCTTGGCTAAGTTTTAGGATAAGGAAATACTTGTAGTTTGGGCCCTCTCAGGTGATGTGTCAGAATGTGGAGTGCATGTGTTTAGTTACATGGGATTTGTGTGACCACTGGGCTATGGTGTAGGGTTTAATCAAACACACAGGTGTGAACGGATTAGCTAATCACTTAAGTGATTCGGGAATGTAGGTTTGAGCCCACGTGCATCAGTGTTAGGAAGTGTGAAAGAGAATGACTTGTATGACCCTTCTGGTGCATGTCCTTTCCTAGGAGGCGGTATTTAACCAGATAGTCCAGATGATGCCTGGGATCGCCACCTTCTTATCCAAGCCCCAGGCCGTGAAAGGAGGAAGGGCCATGATGGCTGTTCTTCGCCATCTCAGCAAAAAGGAAGAGAAGGAGTACAGAAAACACCAGGAGGCCCAGAAGGGTGACGGGCTGAGCAAAGACGGAGGACACGACAGACCACCAGACACTGTGCATCAATGATTCCAATAAAGAGAAATGTACTGAGAAAGAAAACAAGAGCTCGCTGGTCTTTCTGTCCATGAGGCAGTCTGCTCACTAGCTGACGGCAAGGATTGCGACTGTTGAGAGCACCTCCCTTTCCACACAGTTCAGTGGCTCTCCCTGCTGAGGCAAAAGGGTGGCTGTGTTCCCTTTTCTTCTTGGGGGGGATATATCCACTCAGACGAGAGGCCAAACTCCTTTTTTCCCATGCTGGGTTTACCTTGGGAGTGAAGAAGATCACAGTACACAATTAGAGTTCAAAATTAAGTTACCTGAACTAACTCTACAGGGCATGTATGCTCCACAGGTAAGTGCCTTTGCTAGAAACGGAAGTTCTATAAATTCTGGCCCCTTGTTAAATGTGTCACTTCTTAGTCTGCATATCCTCTTTTTCATTTTTTGGGAGAAATTTTGTGATGTGCTTTAGGAGTTAGTTTTTAGAAGGTCCCAATCATCTACTTTCTTCTCTGCTGAATCTGCATATTTATTTATATTTGATAATCTATTTATGTTTACATATTAAAACTTCTAAGTTTGCCCCAGTTGTATACCCATGTGTATTTCAGCATTATTTAAAACAGCAAAGAATGGGAGATAACTCAGGTGTCTATCAATGGACAAATGGTTAAAGAAACTGTAACTATGGCACTCCATTCACGCAATGGAGTATTATGCAACATTAAAGAATGAGAAACAATTTGTGCAACATTGCACATGGATGAATTTAGAGGAAATAATGCTGAGTGACATCAGTCTTCCACAAGAAGACAATTATTATATAATACCACTATTACAAAAAGCCAACTAAAGCTTTATACTTGGATGGTTACCAAGGATGGGAAATAGAAAGGGAGAGCCATGGAGTAAAAAATTAATAAAAAGAACACAAAACAAAATCACTGTCCATCATTCTCCCATGGAGCTTCAGCCTCCTAAGCTAGATTCAACACACCAGAGGCATGGACTCTGAGCAGCATGACTACAATGCCATGGCTGGGTGAAGGGAGAGGCAATGTAAATAAGGGTTGCTCAGAAATTATTAATTGATGTTCTAAAACAAAATGTGTATGAATGACTAAAAACTTTCACTCTAATCACACACACACAAATCTGATGGATCTGTAGACTGACTGCCTGAGAAGTGGCTGACAGTATTCTAAACGGCCAGCCTCTTACTTTGGCAGTTTGTTCAGTGACAATCAAAGCTTGCCTAGGTAGTTTCAACTTACTTTGCCCTTCATCTTCCTCCTGGCGGGGTCGTGCACGACAGCATGCCGAGTGAGGCTTTGCTGTAGTAAGGGAAGAAGGAAAAAAGTACCATTTTTAAATTGTCAACATTTGATGCCTGTTAATATGAAAACCCCACAGTAACTGAAACAAATGGTCTGTTACATGCTGTCAAATGCCTTTACCTCATCCTAACTCGTGTCTAAAACCACTGTCTTTTGACATGGTCCCAGACAGGAACATCTATAGTCCCAACCATCTGTTGAGTATGACGCATAGCGACCTTATGAACAACAGACCTGAACCCTGTCCTCTCTCCTGTGCCATCCTCATCATCTCTGACAAACTGAGCCCATTGCTGCAAGGACCATGTCAGTCCATCTTGTTGGAGGTCTTTCTCTCTTTTGCTGACCCTCCACCTTTCCAAGCACAATGTCCCTTTTCAAGGAATAACTTTTCCTAGCAACATACTTGCCTCCAAGGAGCATTCGGGCTGTACTTTTCCCCAACCACCTACAGCTTCTTAGTTCTTTCATGAATAATGGGGTAAACATGGTTTCTGGAAAGCTCAAGAGGGTGATTTTAATTGAATCTATAAAACCAGTGTTCCTAAATGCCAACGAAAACCTGACTGGAATCTTGCAGTTCCTAACAGTGCTATCTTGGCTCCAACTAGTTTTCCTTTACAATGGTTTGGGTCCATGCCAAGCTAGTTTCTTATCTCCCTTCATACTTCAGAGATCACTGCAAGCATCTGCAAGACCACTAACCAGTGAGCAAGAATCTAAAACAATGACCAAGAAAGGTGTTAAAACCTAGACTAAATTCCCCAAGTTCTGCCTTTCCTTGGAGCTCTGATGGCAAAGTCCAGAGGGAGCTGCACTGCTCACCCAAAGCAGTGCCTTTCTGGCAACTGGCAATCAGAGTCACGGATGGGCATCTCCTGTGTGATTTACGGCCTCCCGAAATCCCTCTGGAGGGTCAGCTATCAGGTAGTTCTGACACGATGGCAATGAGTAATCCTAGGGGAGGGCATGCTGAAAGGAAACCCACAGTGGCAAGCAGCACACTTAACAAACAATACTGATACCATAAGGCAAACTAAACCCACTGTCAGCAAGTTGATTCTGACTGGGTGACCATGTAGGATCGAGCAGAACTGCCCATATGTCTTAGAGAAGGTTCAGACAGAGTGCTTCTTAGAGACAGCGTTGGCAAGGCTTTGTCTCACTTTGGACATGTTGCTAGAAGGGGGTGTTCCCGGGAAAGGTGGAGGGTCAGCAAAAGAAGGGGACCACGAACAAGACTGATTATCAGTGATGCCTCAGTGGGTTCAGGCGTGTCAGAGAAGGATGGTGCAGGCTAGGACAGGGTTCAGATCTGTTCACAGGGTCGCTAGGAGTCATACTTAACTGCACACAACAACAATGACAATCTTGACAGAAGGGAGTTGCTTCACCTTTCATGGAGCAGCTGGTTGGTTCAAACTGACCACTTCTTGGTTAGCCTCAAGCACCTTAACCACCATGCCACGAGGACTCCTTAATCATAAGCCAAATTCCAAAAACCAAGCCCACTGCCATCAAATTGATCTGACTCACAGTGACCCTGCATCAGGTTTCCCAGGCTGTAAATCTTTACCAGAGGAGAATGTCTTTCTCAGAGTGGCTCTTGGATTTGATCCAGCAACCTTGCAGTTAGTAGCAGAAAACATGTGACACCATACCACCAGGAGCTCCTTTACCATAAACTAGTTCTTCTCATATTTAGCAAACATAAGCATCCCAGGAGAACTTGTTAAAACCGACTACTGGGCCCTACGCTGGGTCTAACTGACCAAAAGCCCAAGGCCATGGTGAGAACACAAGCATAGGCCAGTGAGGTTATTTCACAGACTTCAGGTAAGAAAAAGCAAGCGAGCGCAGAAGGCCAAGCATCCTGCAGACCCAGCTTTCCTCACGGCTGGGACTCCATCTTGGAATCCAGGGCTCCTAGTCTAAACCCGGGACCTGAGAGGACGGCAGGCATGAGGATGAGCAGCTCTTACTTTCATAGCAAACGCTTTGCCGCATCCAGCGTGTTCACACAGAAATGGGCGCTTCTCCTCATGGAAAGAGAGAATGTGGCTCTGAAGGTTAAACACGGTGGT